TTCTTATAATAGTTTCTACGACAATATTATATTTGAAATATTTTAGGATGTAGCGAATGAAATATTCTAGAGACTTTATATATATGTACGAAGTTTTTTTGATCGTAACTTTATTTAGCTTCAGAAAGATTTGAAGCAAAATGTCTCCAGAACATTTCAAATAAAATATCCTATATATATCTCTAGAGGTTTGCAAAAGTATTTCGAACTCGCGGCCCGACTTATCGAAAATTAGAAAATGCAATACTGAAAAGTTGATAAAAAATTCTGAAAAAATTCTTAAAGTTCTATAAAAAGAAAATAAATGATTTTTGTTTCTTGCAATTTTTCTATAAGGTTGATAGTATTTGAGTAAAAATAGATGTCGATAAGTCGGGCCGCTACTATAACCCAGCGAATTAATGCACTGCAGTGTATTGTCTGAATTTTTTACGGTCAAACGCAGTCCGCAGTAAGATAAATAAATATAATAGCATTCTCGACTCGTGTAGCCATGATAGTTAAAAAGATAGTTAAAAAATTTCAAATTTTCGCGCTATGCGTGATCGAGGCTTATATCTGGCGCGCATGCGCGCAGAACGGGCTGCACCTGTTCCCTTTTCAATATATGTATTTTCGAGAATCTCGGTAGGAACAATAAAAAGCCAAAATCGTTATCGCCGCGCGAAATTATATGTACTCATCGAGCGATTACGATCTAGCAACATGCACAACGGCGCAATGAAGTCAAAAATCACTTCGGCAAATGCAACCGAGGTAAATGCGCGAAAAATGGCCCGTTGTCAGTTGCGCAGTTGCCAGTGCTGTCAATTGTGCCGTGACTCGTGACTCGGCGGTGATGCGCAGGCGGCTGAGGCGGCGGTAGGCAGCGCAGGTGGTCTGCGATTGGTCGCGTCTTTCGTCGCCCGCGTTCCGTCCAAACCGAATCGCCTCAACCAGCCTCAACCAGCCTCAATCGCCCGCTCTGAGCTCTCTCACGACTCTCACAGCTACAGCAGTCACAGCACTCGGCAGATGCGCGGCAAACGACGCCGAGTAAACAGCTTCTTTTCTCGCGATTGTTCCGGCGGAACGGTGTCCTCAGTGCGACGCTGTTACGAATGACGTGCAGCGGAGACGCGGTCGTGGATTCCTGACGAGCGCGACGGGTCGTCGTCGTCCTCGTTGTCGAAGCGCCGGTGCTTCTATCTCGCCTTCGGTGTTTAACTTTGTGCTCCAGCAGGGAGAGAGAGAGAGAGAGAGAGAGAGAGAGAGAGAGAGAGAGAGAGGGGAGGGAGACGGAGAAGAATCGCGACCGAGTGCGACCTTGTCCTCGACCAGCTGCCGGAGAGTCCAGCATCACGAACGTAAGTCTGTGAAAGATAGATAGACAGATATCTTTATTTAGATGAGAGAAGAAAGAGGGAGCATCCAAAAAAGGGTCAGAATCCGAAGGGAAAGGGTAAGGAAGAGGGAGTGGGGGAGGGGAAGGGGAAAGAGAAGAACGATAATCTCTCGAGTTTTCCCACGGCGCGGGCGGAGGATGTGCTGCTACATCGCTTCCGAGCTCGATTTCTTTTTTTCATTCCCTCCCTTTCCTCCCTTAGGTGAACCTAAACCTAAACCTAAACCTAAACCTCATTAGACATCCCATCATCCAAGAGGACGTCTTGCGTCCTAAGGATATTTCCAGGATGTTTCCGCGTCATGTCCCCCGAATGAAGTGTGCTGCATATGGATTCGTCGATGATGAGTTGGATTACGATGTCGCGTGTTGTTATTCTCATAATCTCATGTGGAGACGCGCGTCACGGAATACAAAGCGGGGTCGGGATCATCGGGGACTCTGTCAGCCGTTCGCGAGAATCGCGAGATGCAGTCTCGCGCATCTTGACGCGACCTTCCTGTTCCGTCTCTTTCTCTCTCTCTCTCTCTCTCTCTCTCTCTCTCTCTCTCGCTCGCCCTCTTCCCTCGCGATCTCGGAAAGTCCTGATGGTCCCATGAAATAGAAAGTGGAGAAAACCGACGAGTTACGAAACTATAAGTCTGTCGCCTGATTCCCGATGTCCCGAGCTCAGAACACAGAAGTCATTATGATATCGTAAGGACATTATTATGAGATCATTATTATAAGAAGGTCATATTTGTCATTTGTAAGTTCACTTGACAAATATGCGATATAAAATGTTACGATATAAAACATTACTTTTATTTAAATCACAATCCTCTGGATATTTTTTTATTGTTAGTCTCCTACTGAATAGTTTTTACAAAAATATCAATAAATCATATATATTCATATGTCTTAGAGATATAATGCTTATCGAATACTATTAGTTTTTTCCGAAACCCTCTGATCGAGAAGAGACCCGATCACCCCATTGAAAGCGTTTAAAGTCTAAACGCTCGCCTTCTCCCGAAATTGTTCGCTCGAGGCCGCGAGACAAACCGAGGTGTTCCGATTTCGAGAAACGGAATCTCTCGTTGCCGTGAAGGTCGCGCGAATCGGCGACACAAATAAGCGCACTCTGGGGTCACAATGGGGCCTCCCCCTTCGAAATTGGTACTTCCGCGCAATCATAACTCCAACGACTTCTCGAGCGAGTGCTGCTGGTACGCAATTAATGCCTCGCACCACTTGTTGCTGCTTTTACTACCTGATATGTCAACAGCGGTTACGAGTGCGGATTCTTCGACGCGCACCTGGTGACGCGCTCGCGCGTTATCCTCGTAATCCGATAATCGTCTTTATCCGAGGCTCAAAAATTTGTTTTTTTTTTTTTCGTGAAGGAAAAAAAAGATGGAATATTGCTTAAGCACTATGGCGAAGTTACCCGCGCGAGAACCGATTAACAGATACGGCTTGCTTCCAACTTACGTTGTGGTGAAATAATTATCTCGTTACGTGGTCGCGCGAATCTATTTCGGCGAACGTGCAAGTAACGATACGAAAGGAAATAATATGTATGGTGAGACTCGATTTATTTTTTATGTAAGTTTTTATAATAAATTTCATAATAAGTTGCGCAATGTGCAATGTGCACCTACCTCAGATGGAACACAGTGTCATGATGATACAATGCACGTTGTGACTTTATTTGTCATTTGTATATAAGTGAACACTTACGTGACAAATAAGATCGTGATGACATTTTTATATCATTATGACTTTTATGTTTTAAATGCTTGTATATTTTCCGCAATGACGATACAAACAATTCTATGTATTTCTAAGCTGACTGAATCTCGACAAGCTGAGTAATCCTCGAGATTAGTCTTGTTGATTATCGTTAAATTTAATTGAACACGATGACAAGCGATTGACGTTTCCTTCTGTACGAAGTGTGCGATAAGTTATCGAATACTCGAGAGCAGATTGAAAAAAATTATTATATGTAAAGTTTTCGCGATGCTTTGTAGAAGCGTTCACGATTGACTCACTGTAATAAGATAATTGCTTAATCTTGAATAAGTCGCCAAGGATGCGGTTATTCCATGACGTTCACAGCGCTTTTGGAATCATTTCATCCTTGTTTACAAATGTTAAACAAGAACAAATGTTGCTCACAAGAGTTGTGAGTGTCAAACAAACACCTAGACATTCGCGTGTCTTCGCGAGAGGACAAGTTCTCGTCCAGAAAAGTTCAAAATTTGTCGATTTTATCCTATAGAATACGTCTGTGTGCATCTGAATCACTCTTCTAAATCAGAGTTGTCAATTGTTAGAAGCATAGATCGCCAACTTCTCTATCTAGTCCAAAGTTTGCCAAACAATGTGGCAACTCCCCCAGCCCTGCCACCAGACTTTTTTTTGGGAGAGGGAGAGATAGGGGAGGAGGAAAACTTACACAGGAAAATACCACCTTATGTCAGTATGGTAATGTATGGTAAAAATACTAGGAACGCATTAAAAAAGGCGTCGTTTTTGGCCATTGCCAATCAAGCATTCAAGTGGAAAGCGGTCAATTTTCGCGGGGTAGAAAACCGAAGCAGGCAGCCCAATTTGCGACCAATCGCACAGAAGTGATTTTTTAATCGCAAATTCGCTTCTCGTGTAGCCGAAATTGCGAAAAGTAGCCCAATCTGACAACCCTGGTCTGAATCAACGCCATCGACGGTTGCGAGTTGCGACTCTGTTGCGGGAGCCAGGCAAGGTGGATAGAAGTGGATCTGCCCATGCGGATCTGCCCACTGTGCACTGTGGCAAGCGGGAATGACTCGCGGCTTCTCGTTTCGTAAGTTGAACCTGCTCTGTTGAAATGTAAACATCGCGGGGCGCGTCGCGCCGTCGCGTCTGCTCGTTAGTGGATGAGTACGTTGTCTGACGTAATCGTACAGAATATAATTAAATTATGGCGCGGCCATAACTGTCTCTCGCTATACACACACACACACACATGCACCCCACACACACACACACACACACACACACACACACACACACACACACACACACACACACACACACACACACACACACACACACATATATATATGTATATTTGTATACATTATGCAGGATGTTTCTCACATCGCATTGGTCATCGCGGTTTTTGAGTACTTTCAATGGATTGACGACAAAATGTTTTTACTATAAGTTTATTGGTTTGTAATAGAGAATTAATTGCGTAAGAAAAGTTTTTAATTTGTTCATTTGTTTTAATAAAAAAATCAAAGTCAAATCATGTTTTTTTTTTAATGGAACCATATATTTTTCCTTCCATGTTTTGTAATACATAAAAAGATGATCATAATTTTACTATTATTATTAGTTTTTCAATTAACATAATTTTATTATTTTTATTTTTATTTAGTTTTCTAATACACATGCATTAATATGGATTCACAACCTTATTATATCTGTGATACTGAGATACGACAATTATATCGACTAAAAATTGCATTAAAACATTAACTGTCTCTTCTCGCCAATCATCGAGGAATTGGTTCAAAAAAATGGAAAAATTACTATTGCAACACAATTTATAGTTTGACTATCTAAAAATAAGTTATAATTCGGTTGTTTTTTTAAATATTAAGAAATGTGAGATGATTCTTGTATTAATAATTTATGCATGGGAGTTAGTTTCTTTGTAAAAAATGCATGCATATATACAGCTACAGCTAAAGAGTTACATCGAAACGTACTGTTTTAATACAATATGAATAATAAAATTGTTAATTATGCACATCCAAAAAACAAATTTGCTCATTTATTAGATCTATGTTAGATTTAATCAATTTTTAAAAAGATGAATTCAATGTACGATATAACATTATGTATTTTAATAATTCGATTTCAAGATAATTCAATTAACTAATACTTCCAATATAATCCACGATCTGTCGTCGATACTTGAAATCCAAACGTAAAAACATTATAATTTAGTTGAATACGCATAACAATTTACTAAAAAGAATATAATTTTGTATTGTGAAAGATGCAGTTTGAATATTTATTTTAATAAATATATGTACTTGATGTGAAAACAACGTCGAATAACGTACTTTAGCATTATGTATATTGAATTCCTTTTCAAGTATTTCAATGACTACTATTTATGTAGATATATTTCTCAATGCGATCATGTTTGTTTATGTTTGAGTCTCATCGCTTTAGATATCAGTGACAAGTTCGTGGATTATGTTATAAATGTTAATTGAATTACCTTGAGATCGAATAATCAAAATGATACATAATGCTATATCAATAAATTCTTTTTTTTCATACTATAAGAATATCGAAAAATATTTCGTTCCATTAAAAAAAAACAATTTAATTTTAATTTTTATTAAAAAATTAATTAATTAAAATTAATTAATTTAAATTTCTTAATACGAAATTAATTTTTTATTAAAAACCAATAAACTTTCATTAGAAACATTTTATTAATCGGAAACTTCAACAATCATTCGCGATTCGCAAAACACTTTATATACAGGGTGTTTCGAATTTAACGGCTAAATTTCAGAAGCGTGTAGGGAATTGATAAGAAAAAGACCCTTCAGAGACATCTCGTTTTTATTTCATTTTGAAGAAAATTGCAAAAAAAAATAAAATGTAGTTTTCATTTATGTACTTATTTATTACTTATTCATTCACACTTATTTATTCACGTTGTCATTTGTTTAATGCAGATATTGTTCAAAATGTTGGCCTCTTGCAGCAATGCACGCATTGCATTTTGGATAACTCGTGTTACAGCCAAACACTCATCTCGTCAACGTAAGGACTCGCCGATCCGGAATTCTTCTAGAAATCGGCACGCATACTTTCGCACTGCTTCTGAAGCGTTATCGCCCAAATCGTACACGAAAACAATAATATTCCGCTTTGAAAACAATAATATTTCGAAAATAATATTCG